GGGCGACAAAGGGCCCAGGGGCCTGGACTTGCGGCCTGGGCCCCCGCAGAGCCAGCAGGGGCAGAGGGACTATTTGGGGGGTTTCAGTCACGATGCTGATTGTCAGAACCCTCGGGCGGGCCGGCTGCTGTGTCACCCAAATAAACGGCGATATTGTTTCAGCTTCCAGGGTGGTGTGGGGTGTAGCCCTCTGCTCCCACCCACACCCGACCAGGCAGGGCCCAGGCCTGTGAGGACCCCTGCCCGACGGACAGCCACTCCCGCCCCAGCTGCGGTGTGGCCCCCCTCTTCTCCACCCGCTTCTCTTCCCACTCGGTGCTGGATTGATTATTCATGGAAACGCCCTGGAGAGGATCGGGCTCAGAGTGGGGAAGGGACCGCCTGAGCTCACAGACGGGAGAGGCAGAGGAGCCAGGCGAGGTGGCAGGCGGGGACCGGGCCATGCTGCCCCTCGCCTCTGGCCCAGGAACCGGGGGGCACAGGAGAGGGGCGGAGGGGCACCTTTCTCTTCTCTAAGAAACTGCCTTCCCAGGAGAACTGGATGGAGGGTGCCCGCAGCTCAAGGCCACGCCCGCCTCTGAGGACACCGTGTGGTGCCTTTGAGAACTGCAGGGGTTCCGGAGTCCCGTCTCCATGATAATCCGCCCACAGATGGCAAGCAGGTTTTTTTTTTTTTTTTAATATATTTGATTGATTATTGACAGAGAGGAAGGGAGAGAGAGAGAGAAACTTCAACGATGAGAGAGAATCACCCATCGGCTGCCTCCTGTACACCCCCCACTGGGATCGAGCCTACAACCTGGGCATGTTTCCTTGATCAGAATTAAACCTGGGACCCGTCAGTCCACAGGCGGATGCTCTATCCATTGAACAAACCGGCTATAGCAAGCAGGATTTAAAAAAATAGATATATGTTCTTACTGATTTTGAGAGGGGGGGGCAGGGAGAAGGAAAGGGAGAGGGTAAGAGAGAGAAACATCAATATGAGAGAGGAACACCTGTCGGTTGCCTGCTTCACACACCCTGACCAGGGATTGAGTCTGAAACTTGTGCCCTGCCTGATAGATCCTCCCCCCACCCCCACCCCCCAACTGGTGGGCGGGGTATGACGTAACCTGCAGCCTGGCAATACCTGAGTGACTAATCATGTACCTTATATGGACTACACTTTGGACCACCAATCCACACCTGCCAAATACCCTAAGCCCTTGTCCTATATGGACAATGCAGTAAGCCACCAATCAATGTGCGCCCAGTACACTAAGCCCCCACCCCTTCCCATTCCGCCCCTCAAAAGGCGTGCCCGCCCCTGCACGTGCTGCTGTCCTCCTCTTGCCAGACAGCCCGGCAGGTCCTGCTCCTTTAATAAAGCCTGTAGTCCTGGTTTTCAGCCTCTGTCTGATCTTTCACTGATGAGGAATTGAACCGGCGACCTTTCGGTGCATGGGATGACGCTCAACCCACTGTACCACACCGGCCAGCGCGTGACGGCAACTTCTTATGTATCCCCACTTCCCTCCTCCCCTGGGTCACACACTTGCTCCCTGGTGGCGGGACACCTCCCCACGATGCTGGTACTGACTAGCTGATGCTCCCCGTCCTCTGCACCCCAACCAAGTTCATGGTGTGACCCTGGTATGAGTAGGATCGGCTTAGCTGCCCCTCCTTAAAACACTGGCCCACCAGGCCGGCATGGCGCAGTGGTCGAGCGTCGACCTCTGAACCAGGAGGTCACTTGGTCAGGGCACATGACCGGATGGTGGGCTCAGACCCCAATGTGGGAGCCAATCAACGATTCTCTCTCATCACTGATGTTTCTGTCTCTCTCCCCGTCGCCCTTCCTCCCTGAAATCAATTAAAACATATTTTAAACAAACAGCAACCCTGGCCCATCCAGCACCAGCATCTACACGGCACAGCTGTCCCAGGAGGAACACGTGGTCGACACGCAGAAGCACGTGTCCTGCCCATGTGCACGAGGAGCTTTATTTTACACCCGAGACACATGCACACACACACACACACGCACACGCACTTGCCTGCCAGGGCTGTGCCGAAGACCGGATTGGTCACCTACCCCCCATCCTCCTCCCCACCCCAAACGCCACGTACTGGTTCCGTGAAAAATTCCTTAACCTTCCTCATCCCGATCTGTGAAACGGCGCACGCCACCTGCCTTCCCCCGGCTCCGAGGCTAAAATGACTTGAAATCAGCTGGTGGATTTCAGATCTGACGCACAGCGCCTGGCCCATAGTCACTGCCCTACCAACCTTCGCTTCCCCATCACGTGAGTTCGAACCTGTCAGGCTGTGCAAGTGCTGTGACGAGGTGACCAGGGTCAGCCCGGCCCGGCGGCGCCCGTGGTGATGCTGTCGCTCTCTCTCCCACCATCCAGACCAGGGCACCCTGCCAGGGCCCCGGGTGAGGTGGGGTGAGCCGCCAGCCAACTCTCAGCTGTCACAGAGGCAGCGCACCTGTGAGTAACCACAGCCTCTGGAGTCACATCTGGGCCCAATCCCAGGGCCACCACTGAACATCTGCATGAACACGGTATCAGCCTCTTCTTTACCCCACTTTTTAAAAATACATATTTTTATTGATTTCCGAGAGGAAGGGAGAGAGAGAGAGAAACATCAATGATGAGAGAGAATCACTGACTGGTTGCCTCCTGACCACCCCCTACTGGGGATCGAGCCTGCAACCCGGGCATGTGCCCTTGACTGGAATAGGACCTGGGACCCTTCAGTCTGCAGGCCAACGCTCTATCCACTGAGCCAAACTGGCTAGGGCTTCCTTACTGCACTTTGCCACCCTTTAGCTAGGGCTCACCTCACAGATTAGCTGAGAAATGAGAGCAGGCGACAACGGCTCACCTACCTGGGTGCTGGTGACCGTCCTGTCCCTCTGGGTGGGCACGGCTCACCTACCTGGGCGCTGGCGACTGTCTGGTCTTTCTGAACAGGCATCAGGGCTTCCGCCGGTTCGGTGCGGCTGGCCCAGGAAGGGGTGGGGACGACAAGCGGCGGGAGGTGATCCGTCCCATCTCCTGCCCTCCGTCTAATTAGCAGAGCCCTGTTAATGAGAACCACGCTCAGGCGCTAATAAACGGCAGGAGGCCCCCAGCTCGGAGAGGCAGCAGAGGCCCTCCGCAGGGGAAGGGTCGGCCAACAAGCCCCACTTATCTGTGAAAAGACTTGCTAATAACTTTAATTCCCCCTCCCACCCTGCGGGGCCTTTGCCATGCAAATAGACTTTCTAAACCGGGTAGGGTCCTGGAGAAAAACCGATGCCCCATCCCCCCAGCTTAGGGTCCTGGGAGGGGAGAGTGACGTGGGCGTGGAGGTGCAGGAAAGTGGGCCTCACCCCCACTGCAGGGCCTGTGCTTTGGGATCCCACTCTCTGAAGATAAACATGGCAGGGTGCCCCTGAAATGCAGGACAGTGACACCCCCCACTCCCGCCCCCCGCCCCGTGAATTACTGCCCCTCCTGGCCTGAGCAGGAGCAAGACAAACCCATCAACGTCAACAGGTAAATAAACTGTGGTCTATAAATACAATGGAATACTCGAGGGCAAAGAAAAGAAACCGAAAACCGCACGCTAAGTGAAAAAAGCCAGACACGAAAGGTCACATCCTATGGCCCATTCATACGAAATGTTCAGAAAAGGCAACTCTATACAAAGTAGAGGGGTGGGCTGGGGCTGGGGCGCAGCAGTAGAATAGTGGGGAGTGACTGCCAATGGGAACAAGATTTTGTTTTGATTCAATGTATTGGGGTGGCACTGGCTAATAAAATTATAGAGGTTTCAGAGTTTCCTTCTGGAGGGTGATGAAATGTTCTAAAATTAGTGATGATGGCCTAGCTGGTTTGGCTCAGTGGATAGAGCATCGGCCTGTGGAGTGAAGGGTCCTGGGTTCGATTCCGGTCAAGGGCACATGCCTGGGTTGCGGGCTCGATCCCCAGTGGGGGGCGTGCAGGAGGCAGCTGATCAATGATTCTCTCTCATCATGGATGTTTCTATTTTTCTCTTCCTCTCCCTTCCTCTCTGAAATCAATAAAAATATATATACCGTAAAAAATATTAGTGGTGATGACTGCATAACTCCCTGAATATATGAAAATCATTCAAATATAGTTTAAAGGGGTGAACTTTTTATGGTATGCAAATTACATCTCACTAAAGATCTTATAAAAAGCAAATACCAAGTCCTATGTTTCAGAGAAGGTTGAGGGGGTGCAGGGGAGAAGCAGGTGTCCACAGAGGGCTGAGGGACCCTGGACAGGGATCTGTCCCCTTGCCCACCTCACTGGCCAGGGCCGGCTGCTCACCAGACCCCCTGGCTCAAGCCAGGCTCCTGGCCTCAAGCCTCCCCTCCCCACACATCCCTTCCCTAAACTGAATCCAGCCAACGGAGACAGGGGTGTGGCAGCGTGGCCTGGTTCTAGGTCAGGTGGGCGGACGTGAACGCAGTTAGATGGGCTTCTGCCTCTGGGAGGTCAAGGTTCCATAAACTCAGGATGGGCTCACTGTCATTTTATGTCCCTAAACCACGTGGGAGCAAAGGAAGATGGGAAAATCCCAGCGTCCAGGCCAGGATGCTCCAGCACCTGGGGAATAAAGGGCTCGGGACATGGGAAATGGCCCCTTAGAACCGGCGCCCCAAAAGTCCCCAGAAGTGCCGTTCTGGAGGGTTGACCCTCAGTTTAGGCTTCTGCAAAATGGCTATTTGGGTATAAAATGTGTAAAGGACCCGGTGAGTCAGTAGTCACTGATGGAGATGTATTTATTTTCCAGCCCCCACCAGCTTCAAAGACAAGATGGACGGACTCCGTTTCCTGCCACTTTCCCCTAGGAAGGGCCTGCCTCCCGGCTCCAGGCTGACCCCTCCGAACAGGAGGTGCCGGGGGCCGGGTGCTCTGGGGGCTGAAGACGGCAGGACACCCTCCCACCTCTCCTATGCTCCCTGGAGGAGGGGGTGGGCGCTTTGCATCCACGCGAAAAGAGAAGCCGCCAACTGACACCAGCGCAGTTTATTCACAAATAAATAAATACACACTAAGCCCGGCCTCAAAGCGTCCCGCCTGCGGGTCCCATCGGGCAGGGGCTGGGGAAGGTCGTCCAGGTGGGGCCGGCT